TTTGTGCAGCAGCGCTTCTGTGGACTGAGTCCTGCAGCTGGTGTTTCTGCCGCAGTTCAATTGTTGCAGGTCTCTTTCACAGTTTCAGAAAGAAAGCTGCCATCAGCATTGCAACAGGCCAAGCTAGCAGCCTATTCCAAACAGACAACAAATACTGCACTTGTGTTAGTGCAATGAGAGTATATGTGAAGGGATGTGTAACTGAAAATGTGAACCTGTCTTTTTTTTTTTTAGAATGACGATGAGGATGCTCATCTGGATGATACAAACAATTTTACCACTTCCAAGTGAGTCTGGCTATCTTGAACTGCCCCAAACCTTTCTAACTATGCATTTGCATTTTCAACAAAAATGTTCTTTTATTTCCAGAAGGTTAATTTGATTGTATTGAAATGTATAAATCTGTGTTGACCTGTGCCTGAAACAACAGTGTTGGTGTTGATGATTCTGAGCTTTACATGTCTCTTGTGTGTCTCCGCAGTGAGAGTCCACTGGAAGACTTGTCCGCTGACTACAGAACGGTAGGTTCTGAGCCTCTCCTTAGAAAAGATCACACATTCCTAATAATACACCTGAGGGCCTGAAAAGATCTAGAGAGAAGCGATCGGAAACCCCAAGGAGCCAAACTATTCCCACCTGCACACACAGAACTGTATGTAACAAAATGTTGTGCTCTAAATGTCTGTGTTGTGTGTTTTCTATCAGCTGTACTTTAAGGTACTGCAGGAGAACCTGGCTCTGAAGGACAAGCTGCAGGAGATGGATCTGCTGCTCAGCCAAAACAAAGTGGAGCTGGAGAGACTCCGACAGGTTCGGCAGGTTTGCTGCTTCCTCTGACCATAAAGATTTAAAGAGCTGCATGTGTCTCTCAGTGTGCAAGAGTGTTGCTACATCCACGCTTCTACGTTTTGTAACGTTTCTGACGTTCACACTACTGCAGAGAATTAGAGCTGCTCAAACAGAAGTTTGGAAAAGCTGCTGGCCCCATTTTAGTTTGAAAACTCAGGGGCTGTGTTTGAGTCTGGACAGACAGAGAGTGTTTGGAAGTTTTCAGGGAGACACTCCAAACTGCTTGCTGATTGGTTCTTTTTGGTGAAGACATAGCCTTTTCTAATTTGTCAGGCATCTATCACATGACCCTCTTCCTAAAGGACACGACTGACATCTACTACTGCTACCAGTGTTGATGCAACAAGGAGAATGGATTACGAGTGTTGCTGGCCCTGTTGTCTTTGCCAACAGCTGTTGTGCAGCTAAATTCTGTGTTTAACAATGATATAACAGCAGATAATGTGTTAGTATGGACAGGGATTAATAATGATTTAAGGCCAATATGCTTGTGTGGACAGTTTGAAAACAGTTTTTAAAATAAAAACATAGTAGTGCGGTCTGTATGTTTGTATGTGTTGTGTATTTGGTCCAGGTATTAGTATAGTGTTGTTGTAGGGAAATACAAACTGTCACATTATGGGGACTCATCTTCCTTATGGGCACATAAAGCACTTGTGTTAGTGCAATGAGTAGGAAGGTACGTAGGTAGGTTAATGTTAGTAGTTTAAGAAACTAATGTAAGTCAATGTAATGTCCTCTGAACCGGAGACATGACTGCGTGTGCATGTGAGTGGGAACTGTTTATTTGATCAGCGATGAACAATGACTGTAAATATTAAAGACAAGTAACAAAGCAGCTCCCAAAAAGGTGAGGCTAACATGTCCTGATTGCCCCCTGGTGGCTGACTGCAGTATAGGTCATCTACCTCTATGTGGCCAGATGGACAAAAAGTATTTTTCATGTTCTGTCTCCCAAAGATGTTGATCTGTCATTCTAGGTAATGTTTTGAGTGTTAAACTTAAGTTTGGTATTGAACAGTCATTTGTCACCATAAATAGGGTGCTAGACGATAGAGATGATTAACAGCTGAGACTGACTCGTGATTGTTGGCAGGGATGTACCTGCAGGGCCTCCACTCCCCAAAACACCACTGCGCAGACTTTGTCTACAAACGATGCTCACAGCTTAAAATGGCGGCACACGCATGCAGTCATTCATCATAACAACGACAGCATGTTGGACTGAATGTGTAGTTTTGAAATGAATTTATTAATTCGGTGTCCGTTGTAGTTGTCATAGACACTTGTAAGAAAGCAGTTAATGAACATTGTTTCTCCCTGTGGCAGAGCCAAGAGAGCAGCACAGACAGACCGGCCCTGCTGGAGTTGGAGAGATTTGTGAGTCTCAGCTTTTATTTCACTGTGTCTGTTGGAATTAACCTCCTGTACCATCTGTTGCTTCTTGCTTTGGTAGTTCAGCCCGTCACACCTCCACTGGTGCCCTACAGATATTATGCAGTGATGCAGAAATAATATTTCTAAATGGTAGAATGTTAGTTAACAACAGAAAGAAATGCCACCTCTCTTTACCTGGAGAAGCTTTTTACAGGGGGGGAAGTTAGTTTTAAAAACCAGACAGAGCTGTTGTCTCTCGAGTTGTCACGTTTACCTGACTGTATAAGATGTGATGGAAATATATAACAACAGAAACCCAGGTATCAGAAACATTTGAGAAACTTGCACTTAGGTAACAGGAGGCAAAATGTTTGCTCACGATTTCACACTCTTGTGCTCACAGGAGAAGTTGGCCCTCCAGAGGAAAGCAGTGGAGCTGGAGGATGAGCTGAAGGTACTCACGTTCACTTCAATACACACCACAACTGTTCTGAATCAACGTGACTGTAATCATACGATGCTCTAATCCCAAATCCTTAAATTCCTCCTGAGTCCTACGTCATATCTGATGTGATACAAATTCAGATTGGGTCATTTAAAATGATCCTCAGTGAAAAAGGGGTTTTACATATGTTAGAGCTTCACTGTGCAGAATGATGGATGTGCAGAATTTGACACTCAGAGGCTGTTTTCACATTCACCTGCTGAGGGGGAGATGTTTCTCTCCACTCGTCTTAAACTCCAGTTAAATTTTTATAATCACAGTCGCCAGCCTGCCTCTGTTATTTGGCACTGAGCAACAGTCCCATTACCTCCTGTAGACTCACAAGTGTTATGTTGAAAAGTGCTCATGTTTAGTGGAACCTCGGGGGTGTTGCTCTGGAATTAGCTGAGCTGTGGTTTTAGCGTAAACCTGATATCATCTGGTGTCTCAGAGTTGTTTGAGCTTTAAGGGATCAATTGGATCAGAGAAATCTGTTTTCTTTTTAATATGTGGTCTCAATGCCTCCGTATCAAACTGGACCACTGACATCCTGAAATAGACTTGGGAGTGATCAGGATAATTTTACAGCTCCTTGATCAGAAGATTAAACTCTGCTTGTTCCTGACGGTTTCTCAGGATTGGATGAACCCACAATCATTCTCACTGCTCGACTCCATTTTATCTCATGCTGCAAATACTGAAATGATTCCAGTATAGATCTGGTAAAACAGTCACAGAGCTGCCGCAGAAGAGAGCCACAAAGAACGCTGTGTCACGATTACATTCCCAGGAGAGTAAAATCATCAATGTGTGATCGTGTTTCCGTAGGTTCTGGGGGACCTCAGAGCAGACAACCAGAGGCTCAAGGACGAGAACGCCGCCCTCATTCGAGTCATCAGCAAACTGTCAAGATGAACCTGGAAAAAAACCTACATGGAGATGAAAAGTATTACAGGATTTATTTGTTATCCAACTCAAAAGACACAAAACAAGGAAGAGAGAGACGCAGCATCAAACACCTGCAGAGCACATTTAACAGTAACTGGAAGAGCGTAGAGATTTCAGGGTTATTAGCTTGTGTTTGGGCCTTTATGATTTGGCAGATCTACTGTATAACAAGCTGAACTGCACCTCCTGTGGACTGACAGGGCGTCCCTGCTCACATCCACTTTTATATTAAGTTTTTATTGTTGTATTTTTTAACTGGAATATTTTATGTGCTTTGCTTCTGCAACACTTTGTATAAAAATCTGTATTAAGAGACTTAAAGCCATGCACAGTGTGAGTTCATAGTCATGTTTTAGATAGATTAACAAATGCCAGTCATGAGTGAGGGGGTGGTTATTAGAAAAAAAAACAAAGAAAAAAAACAAAAAAAAGACAGTAATGTGCCAAAAACCCAGCCCTGGTTGTGCATGTCCTTTGGGGAGCGCTCTTTGTGGTCAGTGCTGTTTCTCAGGATGAGTGTTGGGTCGATGCTTCCTGCTCTAGGTGACCGCTGTAAACGTGGACCAAATCTGCATGCTCATTCCTCCCCCGCTCCTCTGAATGTATATTTAAGATGTATATTTATGTACAGGGGCCATCTGTCCTGACAGTGATGTAGACGTGTTGTCGTGGTCTCTGTTGTACAAAGGGCGCAGAGTTTCGGGTGCTAACCAGTGGACATCAGATGCAGCTCATGTACACGGGCATTCTCACAGAAACCGTCGGTTACAAACGTCACATCTTTCAAGAGGTTGTGGAGAACGCACGCTCTCTTCTTTGTACTGTAAGTCGGTAGATATTTCACTTTGCCATTTTGACTGGATGCTTCTGTAAAAGCAACAACCCCTAAGCTAAGTATTCGCCCCAGTGACGGACAGCTGTTATTTTCTAACAGACAGGCCAGATGGGTCAACGTTTGAATGTTTACTCCTGTTTTAAAGAAAATAACTCTTGCATGTCAAATTGTATTTTGATGCCGTGCCTTTCGATATGCATTTGTAAGTAATATTTCTATTTTGCTTTGGTAAACGTACACCGTTAAGTATAAAATACAGTTTGGGCAAAAACAGCTCAAGGCTCTGTTGTTTCTTTTAATTTGTGAAAAATGTCTTCCCAGTATTGACTGAAAATCAGCTTTCATCTTCACTCTCAAAGGTCAGCTTGGTCCCTCAAAAGTTAACACCAACTATAACTGTAAAGTGGTTGTTACATATGTGTTACATATATGTGAATATATACAAACAGCTTGTCCAGGTAGAAACAGTTCTACAATCAGTAAAACATCACAACGTTAGAGGCCAAGTTGAGCAAAATTTTTATTGACTGAGAAGAGCAATCACAAATGATGACGGACTATACAACCCCACCAGCATGCCAGCGTTTTCATAGAAACTGTACAATGTGAAGGAATGTATGGAGCAGGAATACATCGTTATCATTATCAGAAGAAACTAAACAAAACTTTTACATCCATATGTTCTGGTACAGTACAAGTCGCTTTCAATCTAGTGTGACAGGTCACTTGTGTTTCTCTTGTAGTGTCACTGGACCCTTCGTGTCACTGAGGTCTTTTTGAGGGTCACTGGGTAAAAACACTGATGGCCTGGTCAGTTTTTTATTTCCTCCTCTGCCAGTTTCAGTCTGTGGGTGAGACCAGACACCGCAGAAGTCTCCGGCAGCAGCAGACGGTGCCTGGCTCAGCCTCCTTCTGTGGTTTCTCCGGTACTACGCCACACTTACTTCCTGACTGTGGGCTACGAGTTATGAAGCTATCTGAGGGGGAGCGCTGAAGGGGAATGATGTACATTAAGGCAAAGGGGAAACAAACAAAAAGAGAAAAGACTAAAATAGTAATGCTTGTCGCCGTTTTACTCCACGCGATCGAAGTCAGTGCTAAGGCCTCATGGCTAAACGGAATGAGAGGGCCAATGCTGATTTTCACAGGGTTTGGTTTAATTTCTCCAATTTTTAACATTCAGTCCTCTCCAATTAGGAGGTCAGTTTATTTGGGGGTGGGGGGGTGGGTGTGTGCAGCTGTATGTGAATGACCTGTAGAAACAGTCTCTTCTACAGCAGGGCTAACAGAGAAGATGGTAGCGAGAGTAAGCCCTTGATATTACAGATGACTGCTCGTGCACACGGGGCATGCTAAAGACAAGAAGTTGAAACATTAGTCGATACATAAGGCAGCTTATTTCTATACCCTTACACCTTTGACTCCCTTGTTCACTTTGGTCCCACTCACTGTTTAAACAGAGCGAGTGGGTTGATACATTTAGGGCACGGAGGGAGATGCTGAAGAGCAGCTCTGAATGAATTGTTTTAACAAGGCAGGTTCTGGTAATTCTATCAAAAGACAGCGAGCAAAGTAGGCAAGCAAAGCCAGGGGAGGGGAGGGGTGGTGGTGGTGCGGTGGATGTGGTGGGGCCCGCTATGAAAACAACAGCTGATTAACAGTGATGTGAATACAGTCACTTCACACAACGATTGATACACTTATATAAAAAAAGGCAAACAAAAGTTGATTGTACAGTTGCTTTTCCACATGTACTTGATACTGAGAGAGGAAGACACCATTCTGGAAAGGTGGAGGGGGGTAATCTCTTCAAGCAGCAAAAAGACTGGGAGGAGTGGGGGGTGAGAAAGTAACGTGCTACATGGCACAGCTCAGTGTGGGGGTGAAGGGGTGAGGAGAGGGGGTGAGTGAGGATGGCAGGGTTGTGAACGATGGTAAATCATGCGCAGGTGCAGGTGGGGAGATGCTGGACGGAGTGACGGGCGGGGAGGAGGTGGGGTAGGGGGGCTGCTGCTACTTCTGCTGCTGCTACTGATGCTGACAGAGAGGTGGGAGGGAGAGGTGGGATGGAGAGGTGGGAGGGACACTGGGGTGTGCGAAGACAACGAGGTGGGAACTAAGGCATGAGATGAATGAAATGCACAACCAAGTAGAAACAAAGAAGGCAGAAATGGTGGACGCAGGGCAGGGGATGAGGGCAGCGGCTGAGGAACACATGGGGGCAGAGGGATTTTAGACTCCCTCGACCCCCCCACAGACACGAAGGCCTCTTTTAGTCTTTCCAGTCTTTCTTGATGTTGAGGTTCCACTCCCAGGACAGGTGGTCGTGCTTGTCATCGTCAGTGAACTTGGATTTGATGGCGTAGTTGCCGCGGGCCATCGTGCCTTTAGGAGCCTCCTCCACCGTGGTCAGGAAGTCGTATTCATTGGGACGAGGCCCGTAGCTGCCAACCATGTAGTCTGATTTATCAACTGGTAACAAACGGAAAACAAAGTTAGGAGACTTTATTTGACTTCATCAAGAATCAGCAATAAGTATGAGGACTACCCCCTCAGCCACAGCCGCCCCAACCATCTCACCTGCTTCACCTTTACCATGTGTAGTGTTAAAGGTTCAGTGTGTAGAATTTAGTGACATCTAGAGGTGAAGTTGCACGTTGCAGCTGAATACTCCCTCCCATTCCCAACATGAAAGATAACCTGTGGTGAAATTCAGTTAAAAAAACTCAAAAGGTTTTAGTTTGTCCAGTTTAGACGACTCCCCCCCCCTCCATGTAACTATAAAGCTTTTAAATATAGAGGGCCAATTCTATAGTTAAGAAAACAACAATTCATACAATTTAGATGAAACCCACCAGTGAAAACATCACTAGGATTATTTCATATTCAAGTTCTGCCAAAAATCCTTCACCTAAATCTTACACACTGAACCTTTAAGGGATTAATGACTTAATAAATGTGATGGTCTGTTTTTGTGTGAAAAGCAACAGAGACGAGGACACACACACACACACACACACACACACACACACACACACACACACACACACACACACACACACACACACAC